CAGTCGTTCATTTTCCATCGCATTTTTCACATCTGAATAGTCGATTTTGCTCTGATCTCAACTGGTCGTCAAAAAATTCTAAAACCCCTCTTTGAATTCTGTACAATTTCTCTGTTCGATATTGCAGAAACGCAAAATTCAGTGGTCAATCCAACCAGCTGGTCACTGAATGATGGCTACGGTGATGCAACAAGAATGAATCAGCCGAAATCTGATAAGCGTAATCAGCCGAGAGAGTTTCAAGGTCAAGTGGCAGTAGCATCATCGAAAAGCAGTGCGAAAGCACCGATTCTGTATGTTGGTGGAAATGGAACCATATCGGTGATCATGAATATGGGTGTTATTATCGAGGTAATTTTATCTGAGCAGATGAACTGGGATCAAGCAGTGATTAGGCGATATTGATGATAAAATAAAGCACAAATAAGGAACCAGTTGATCAGTTACAATTGAAAAGTGATTTCGTTAGTGATGATAGTCTTACTTCAACTTGATTGATATGTTAGCCTATGTGATATTTTTGAGAGTCTGAAACATTACTCGAAATATGATTCGTTAAGAAAATTTGTTTGAGATCCGTGAGCAGCTTCATTTTGCGTTAGGAAGTCATTCCATGAAGTATTTCATTATTATTATGATCAAATAAACGCCCCTGCTGATGGATAGAAGGCTGAGCGAAGAGATTGAGTGAGGTTACTGATGCTGTCGTAGGCATATAAAATGATCAGTGAAGTTGTGATCGCCTAAGTTAAGCGTTGTGATTGAGATCTTTCCGAATGCATGATAAATAATCCTCGAATATCTCAGATTGCGGCCGATCGTGCTATGAGAGTGCTGTGCCACGATAAATTCTCGGTATGATGATTGTATAAATTGTCGCTCGTCGGAGAGTTTCTTTTTGTATCCATTACAAGTTTATTCCCATCAAACTTATTCACAACCTTCGGATCTTAGGCATTGAGGGAAAAATTCTTGAAGAAAACATAAACTGACATTGATAAATGTGACAGTTGGCTCGTTTAATTTCTAAATTTATGACCGACTAATAGAGCGTTAGTTTGCGTTACTTTGTTTAACGGTCGTTGAAATTTGAGTCATCATGCAACAGTACGGGCACAACCGCATGCATACTACATCCAAATGCGCGTATCTTTCAACAGGGCGAAAAGGTTTTCTGCAATTTTGCTACAACACGTTAGTTAGTTTCAGCACCCATTTCGGCTTCTAGCCCATAGAAGGTTGATTATCCGTTGAGTTGTTTCAAATGTTGGTGTTATCAGTTTTGTAGAATTTCGATCGTTTCACTTGAAAAATATCAGTGCAGTCGGATACGTCTAGTCAAAAAAAAAAAGATTCTTTGAGAGGAAAGATGATGATAACTTCATGATCGCACAGCAAGAAAAGCTTAGCCATAGACCACGAGTGAGGTTTTCTTATTTGAAGGTTTATTACCATTTTGTGCAATTCAAATGGAGCACTGTAAATTGCAAATTCATTGTACATTGCATCTGACTTAAAAATAATTTCATTTCAGCATACACATCCAATAAATCGGCTGTTTTTGGCGCCGAAGGTGTTCTCTTTACAATGTCGCATTTGGGCGAAACCTACTTTGTGTCTAGTTCAGCAGTGAAAGGAACCGCTTCGGTTCCATCAGTTCTTTTGCAGTTTCCGAATTTGAATCATGATTTCACGTTGCGACATTTCTATAGCGAATGTCAAACTGGACAAGAGGTTGGTCAATGAATCAACGCAAAAAGTTTTCATTAAGAGAGAATTTGATCAAATGCGTTCTCATCTGAACTTGGTAACAAAATAAAGCACAAATAATGAACCATTTGATGAGTTACAATTGAAAAGTGGTTTCATTAGTGGTGATAGTTTTACTTCAACTTGATTAATATGTTAGCCTATGTGATATTTTTGAGAGCCTTAAACATCTTCTCGAAATGTGATTCGATAAAGTTGATTAGCAGCCATAAGAATTGAATAGAAATGGATTTCAGCTCATAAGCTAAACTCATAGTTTCATTGTTTGTTTCAGTTTACAAATTTATGCAATGATATCGTGAAACGAGCGCGTTACGGCACCCGTAATGATGACTCGCTTATGATCACCATCAATGGTTAGTGATCATTCATTATTCATTCACTCTATCAATCTGCCTTTCTCCAACAGTTAGAGTGTTTTAGTTATTTGCACTGTTTCACATTATTTAAGTGTGAGGCACAAAATTATGAATGATATGCGAAATAAAAAGAATTAATGCAAGATAACTGCAGATATCTACATAAAACAAGAGCCGAATGGAAATGTTGAGGTGAATTGTCGTCCAAGGCATATCAGTTGCTCACCAACCAATGGTACCATACGTGTTCGTACTGATCTGGTTGATATGGCCGTGCAGGTTCATCATACTGTCAATGCATACTCATGGAATTTTTTTGATTCGTTTCGTTATCAAATCTGTTTCGATTGAAGTTGATATCAAT